TGGCCTCTTCTGATTGGCTGAATTTAAATTACGCGCTATTTTTACTATTTCGTAATAGGTATCGGATACTATTCATAATAATTAGCATGACAAAATAGATGATATGATAATTTATTATCATTATTTTAAAATATAGTAGTAATAATATTGTGATATGGATAAATAATCAAACACTATGTAAAATCTTACATTTTCCAAAAATGCTTATAATGATATTTTTTAGACTAGTTGCGCTTATGCTACTTACTCTAAAATAAGATATTTTTAATTATTTCTGTTTGGTAACAGTATTGAATTTATTTTTTAAAAGATAAATGTAAAATTATTTATAGTAATTAAGTAGGTAGTAAGAAAATGGATTCATAAGCTCATGTAAATGCAAAATACATTAAGAGAACGCTATATCCGTATGCGGTGTTTGTGTTTCTGTCTTATAAACGTATAAAATAGCAAATTATTCCATCTGAATAATCTATTTAACGCTGTCATATTTAATATTACAGTGAATATACCTATTATTACTTTTAAATTTGATAGATAATAGGTATTAATATGCATTAATTAAATACTGATTAATTTATTTTTTATTTACACGAACTAATGAATCTATACTCTCACTAAGTATCTAATTTCTATAAATAATTTTACATTCATCTTTTAATAAAATAAATTCAATATTACTACCAAACACAAATAATTAAAAATATCTTATTTCTTATTTTAATGTAAGTAGCATAACGCAACTATATAGTCTAAAAATATTTTATATTTAAATATTTTTAGAAAGTATTAGTTCTTACACAGTGTTTGATGAATAATAATATACTTATATTAATATTATAATATTATTATTTATTACGTTTATGTCATCATAACATCTATTTTGTCATGTTAATTATTATGATCAGTAAAATGAGATAGGAAAAATAGCGCGCAATTTAAATTTGGCTAATCAGGAGAGCCTAGTTGTGAAACAATGTTAGAATGGTATTATGGTAATATACCACCCGGCGTGCTGGCGCTTTTTGAAATAGCAGATTACTGTTTCCCCGCTTTCTCCGGCATAATAGTCACGTGTATGTATGTATGTTTGTTAGTTATATGGTTAGGTAGATACATTTTTTTGTAATCGTTTATTTTTAAAATATTACGCTATTAATATATCGTAATATATTAATATAGGATATGTGGTTAAGTTTTCAAACATCGAAGGACATCGAAAAGTACCTATAGTTATTATAATTTTTATATTACATGTGAATTTATTCAAACGATGTTTGTAAATATAACCACAAAAGACGAATTTTCAATGACGTGAGTATGTGACATAAATACGAAATTGTTAGTGCTGAAGAGTATTGACAAAATAATATGCAGACCACATACGTAATGTATTTTATGCCTGTACAAAGAAATATGTTACATGTTCATAATAAAAAAATTATTTTAAATACGTGAAAATATGACGTGTTAAGGTAATAATAAAGTAATAAAATAATAACTTATTATATTTAAATACAACATATATTTGTAATAGTTATTCAGTTATTGACTATTGAGTGTATAACTCAGTAGGTTAGTAGATATAAGTTAAAACTATGTTGGAAGTAGGTACACCTACTTAGTATTTATTAAATAAATGTATATTCGATGATAATATACTAATATAAGTATTATAATTTGTTTTAAAGTAAAAGATATTTAACCTGTCAAGTAATACATAATTTAAGTAACGTATTATGTGTTTAATTAGTTATTAATTTATGACGATTGTAAAACTAATTCAATGACGAGAGGGTAAAACTACTGATCTCTAAGTAAATACATACCCCTTCGTCCCAAACTAAATCTTTAATATGCTACTGATAATATTGAATTGAGTTCCACAAATGCTTTTGGGTTATCGAAGTTGAGTCCGACTAATATAGTTAGGTTATTCGAGTTGAGTTCCTTCAGCCTATTAGCGTTAGTCGTTAGTAGTCTCCCAAAAAAAATTTTCTAAAATAATATTACCAAAAGATAATTTAAAAAAACACTTAAACAAGTTTTTATAACATGTCCACAGTTGAACCTCACCAATGTAACATTTTATGTAATCGAAACTTAAAACTTTTAATAATTCTTATTGTTTTTAGTTTTTCACTAAACATACACTCCATTTTTTCACTCGTAATAATTTGATAATTAAATAAGTATTAATTAATTGTGTGTTTACGAAGTTTTTGGCACAACTGGTTGATTTTGAACGAGTATTTATACCACCGAACCGTTGACGAATATCCATTATAATTATTGCATATCCGATATAATATGATAGGCATGACTGTATTAAACTAAAAACGTACCCTTCCCTTTTCGGCCGATTCACTTTTCAACCAAATTTAAAAAAACACTGATTCCCTTTTCGACCAAAACAAAATTTTATATAATATATGTAAAAAAATAAAATAATTGGTACATAATTTTTGCAAAATTAGAGCATATAATTTTTAAAATGATTAAAAGTATAAAATGCATAAAATATAGAAAATTATTTAAAATATAAGAATACCTATATATTAACATTATTTTTATGTTAATGTCACAGTATGTGTTATGTATAATATTATAAAAAAAATAAAATTTAAGCCACATAAGTAGGTTTGTGACATATTAACATAAAAATGATGTTAATTTATAGATATTCTTAAATTTTATATCATTTTTCACATTTTATGCAACTCATACTTTCAATCATTTTAAAAATTATATAATTATACAATTGCCCTAATTTTACAAAAAATTATATACCAATTATTTTATTTTTTTACACACATTACATACAATTTTGTTTTGGTCGAAAAGGGAATCGATCTATTTTAAATTTGGTCGAAAAGTGAATCGGCCGAAAAGGGAAGGGTACGTTATTGGTCGAAAAGAGTTTTGCCTATATAAGGTAGTTATGACATTTAATCTATACGAATTCAATTCAAACACATAAAAGTAGCATGGACTCAATTCGATATCACCGACTGATACAACTAGACTAGATAGATGGTATGTATAGTATTTACTGCTACCTAGGTTTTAAGTATAATATGTAAGAATACTTTTGCCATAATAAATTTAGGAATCGGTATATATAATATTATATTTAAATAGACGCTTATGTGTGCTATGAGTTGATTCCAATTATTTAAATAATTCTCAGAATTTCAGGTACTTGGTTTATCTTTATCGTCTATAGTTATAGAAGTAATACATACGAATTGATTTCAATGAATTTTCATTTTATTAATAAATAAAAAATTAATTTTTTTAAATAAAGTAAAAAAAAATATTGTACTAGAATTAAAACGACAACAGTTTCACAGGTTATAACCCGTTTGTATTAACAATTGTACATGAATATAAAAAATAAGCTACCACATGCATGGATATATCTACGTATTAATAACTATTAATTATTATTTATTAGTCATCAGTAATAACTAATAAGTGATAATAATCAAATAAATGTTTAAGTAATATTAGCAATATTCTAACCCGATATAAAATAATTCAAAGTAAATTAAAATAAATAACACAAGAAAAAATAAAGTGATATCTACTTACATAGGTATGACGCTACATATTATATAACATATAGATTTACAACTTACAGAAACTTGAAATTTGGCAGCCATTCGATATTTTTCATTTATTTTATTCTCCAATTAACTTTTTTTATTCTGGTATTTTCTTAACTTAAAGTAAGGTTCTTGATGTTGTATGTGTCTTACATTGTATCTCTTTTTTAATAAATAAAAATATAATTGTGTGGGTGGAATAAAATGTTGAATTCAGTTTTCTGTCAAACAATTCGTAAAAATATATAGTTATTTTGAATGCTACTATTTTTTTGGTGGTAAATCAATCTTCGGATTTTAATAATATACTACCTATTTGTACATAATATATAAGTATAGAAACCGATTTTGTATTTTTGATAAATACCTGTATTTATATGTCAGGTATTTATCGTATATGTAGCTATGCATTATAGACATTATTATTTATTTTAAATTTTTACTTTCTTATCTATAAAAGCACACAACATATTGCTATAAAATACCACATGCTTACTTAGGTAGATCCATTTTATTATTATTGTAATTAATACAACTATATTTGTGATTGTAAACTTGTATTATCCATATCGTTCAACAATGTTTGATGTCTAAATAATAATTAGAAATTTTTTTTATTTACTTAAATCATTTAATTGATAAACACACAATTACACAAATATATAAATTATACAAAAGGCATAGGCACATGTATTACCTATCTATTAATTTAAGTAATTTTATGTTACCTATACTGGTTATATTTGGTATTTAATATTTATTATGTTTATAAGAATATATAATTATAAAAACACACATTAATTTGTAAAAATATATTTCTGCTAAGTTGCACAATAACTCTACAGTCTACATCCAACTATTCCAGTAAGTACCTACTATGTAGGATCGAATTTAGAATTTTTGGGCCCCTAGATTTAATACCTACATTTTTCTTACTTATCTATCCCTTCCAATTGTCTTCATGATGTAGAATAAAACATTTAAAAAAATTACACCTTTACATTGATTATTTACAAATAAATAAATGGTTTTATTTCTATTACATTACAGTCGTAATATATTAAAATAGTAGTAATAACTTTTGAAACCTACCTATCAGAAAAAAAAAATCTTGGTAATTTTGTGAACTCTCAAAAACTAAGATTCGGGGAATTTGTATTAAATGCCCCCGTAAAATTTAGTCATGTAGTATTAGCATTAAAAACTTCTTCGTAATCTCGATAAATTATAGGTAAAATATCTACTACACTCAACAATTTAAACGAAGTAATGATTCTAGGTATGTTATTAGGAATTACATTAAGAAAATCGGTTGGTACACAATTTGATTTCAACATTATTAGTTCTTACCTAACCTGTACGAGATAAACTGGTATAAATGATAATATGAAATATGAATGATAATTGATAACCGGCAATGAAAAATAGAAAAACTGTCGCAACACTGGAAACTAAAAATTGTTGTTTTCTATATAAAAAACTCATCAAACATTTCGTTATGCTAATAACATTATAAATTATACTTCAAGAATAACGTTGATAAGACAATGAACAATGTACTAAGGATATGCAGAGGCTTTGTTTTATTGGGTAATCGAAAGTCTGTCAAGTCTGTTCAACGAGGGTTTCATTCAACAGAACCATGTTTTGAAAAACCTCCTAAGGTTGACGTGGTAAGCGTAGATAGTTTCAATAATGTTCAGGAGAAGAATAAGAAGACGTTTTTGGATATGTTAAGGGTGTATCAGATGGAAAAATATCGATCTGGTCATGTAGAGTTTATAAATACAGCAATTAAACATCTAGATGAATTTGGAGTTAACGAAGATCTAGAAACTTACAAGAAACTCATCCAAGTGTTACCAGCGGGAAAATTTGTCCCCCAAAACTATATACAGTCAGAGTTTATGCACTACCCAAAACACCAGCAGTGTATCATTGACTTATTACAAAAAATGGAGGATAATGGTAAAATTATAAATTTTAAGATGGACGTTTAATATATTTGAGTTTTTGATATACTTTTTTAGGAGTAATTCCTGATTGGGAAGTAGAAGACTTGCTTGTAAAACGGTTTGGTACTCGTGGATTTCCTGTACGACGTTATTGGCGTATGATGTACTGGATGCCTAAATTTAATAATCTATCCCCTTGGCCTATACCTAAGCCTGCCCCTAATGATCCTTATGAACTAGCATTATTAGCTATCAAAAGGATTTGTAGTATAGATATTGAATCTGAAGTTAAAGTGTATAAAACTAAGCAATTAGAAGAAAGCATAGAAGATACATGGATAGTAAGTGGTCAAAGTCCAGATCAAAAGAAATTAATTGCTAATCACCCAGAAAATATCCCTATATACATTGAAGGAGGATTTAGAATATGGCTTCGAAAACAGAGTATTATATATTTTATTTTGAGAACAGAGCCTCCTCCAGCAATAGAAAACAAAGAACAAGAAGATGAAGATGGTAACATAATACATAAATAGTTTTTTTTTTTTAGAACTCATAATAATAATTTGTTATTTTATTTTAGATATAAGTAATTTTCGTATACCTTATTTTGATAAACCTATTCCAAAAAAATCTGACAAAATTGCTAAAAAAAAAACTGTACATGAACAAGAAGATGGTACAATACTTGCAGTTGCTGCTACTGGTACATCCAGTAAAAACTCTTTATTATCTTGGGTATTTAATTTTAATAAAATCTAATTATTTATATTTTACATTTTTATTTAATATTAAAGATTAGGTTTTTGGAAAATGACGGGAACCCAAGACTAACTCAAATACCAATTTTATTTACAAGTAAATCACCACTTGGAAATGTGGAACCATTAGTTGAACTTGATGAATCTAAGAAAGAAGTTGAACAGTCAAAACAAAAAATTCCCATAGAGTAAAAAGTTAATTTATATCAAGTAAGAATATTACAATTTAATAAAATATATGTAATAAATATCTAGAATTTTTAATTGTTTACCTTTATCAATATATTTACTATTTTTGTATGCGTATGTATTTGTATAGCATGAATTATGATATAATATCTTAATTGATGTTGTATAAGTATGTTAAAAATTCTTTAGTAACAGCAATTAATATATTATATTAATACAATAAACATTGAAACTAAATTTGTATTTTAGTATAAAAATTCTTCAGGATGATCAGTTTGGATTAATTACACGGTCAACAATTGAGTTATAAGATATTGCCATTTGTGATTCAGGATGAGTTAAACCGACATATTTTGATGTTTCGGAAGATACTCTTGGATCTATTGGTACAGTTCCTAAAAAAGGAACTTGGAAATGTTCTGCTAAAGATTTTCCTCCATTGGATGAAAATAAATTTGTACACTCCTATAAAATAAAATAATAATTATAATCATTTAAATTTTTAAATTAATCCTATAAATTAAAATCAATAGATTATAAACATTATTCAAATGTCAACAAATATTTTATATGAATGACAATTATGAGCCATTAAATTAATATTTTATCAAATCAGAATCAGTAATAATTTAACATATTCAAGATATAACTTAATTCATATTTAAATAATTCAATATTGTTATGTTGTATTTATAAAGATAATATAATTAAATTAATTTAAAATTTTAATTTTAATGTATTTATAGTGATGTTTTATTTAAAATCAAATACTAATTTACAGTTTCTTTTAAGAAACTTATAAATGAATAAATTCAGCATATTAAATTAATTAATTGTATATTACTAGAAGTAATTTTAAAATAAACAAGTCTGGTATTTTGACTAGTAAAAGGTATCAATTATGTTAAAAAGTTAAGTTGGTTTTTTTTAACATATACTTTATTTATAATATAACATATTATATTATATATCAAACATTTAGTAACAAGATTATAAATTGGTAAATTTAAAATTATAAAGTTTTTTACATGATTCACATTTAGTGACAGAAAAAGGGAATAATAATATAAATAATTCCAAGTGGAAAACAAAAAATATTATGTTACCATACTTTGTTATACATTTTAATTATTACCAAAAATTGTCATGGAATAAAGTATATTGAAAGTAATATTTGAGCAGATTATTAACTCACAGCACAATTAGGACAAACGTAACCACTCATGTTCTCAACTATTCCTAATATTGGAATACAAGTTTTGCGACAAAATGACAACTCTTTTCTAACATCATCCAAAGCAATTTGCTGTGGAGTTGTCACGAGTATTGCTCCATCACAAGGAGCTTCTCTAAAATTAAGACATCAATTAAGAGAGTTCTCAAATCTAAAGTCAATAATAAATACATTATAGAATTGTATACTTAATATTCTCCATAACTGTTATATGTTCGTCAGATGTGCCTGGTGGTGTATCAATAATTAAATAATCAACGTCTTCCCAGAAAACATCAGAAAGTAATTGTTTTATGAATGCTATTCACAAAAAATGCATACATGAGTTTATACATGCATAAAGATAGCAATGATTATTTTAGATAACAAACCAGTCTTTTTTGGTCCTCTCCACACTACACTATCATTTCTGGATTTGGTCAAGAATCCAATTGAAAGAACGCCTAAAGATTTTGACTCGTCTGTATAAACTGGAACCCAACCAGCTTCACATTGATGAACCTCTTGGTTTTCTAGTTTTAATAAATATGGTATTGATGGACCACACAAATCTACATCCAATATGCCAACCTAAATAATTAATATTGCAGTTAAAAAAAAAAAAAAAAAATTAGCTGAATTTCTATTTTTTGCAATATTTTTTTTCATATGTTTAGTACTTAAGAGGACGTCGCACTTGCATGTGTTGTCTCTGACTAATACACATATGACACGGTAAATTTTCGTTCATCAGTTTCAATAGAGTGCTTTTAGTTTTGATATTACAGTAAATTGATTTATTATTAAACTTTTAGATAAATACATTACCTGTGTTCTCTTGTTGGTTTTTATGATATTTTTATTTTTAAGTATATTATGCGGATTTTCAAACGTTTATATTTGTTGTATTCATAACTCACTTAAAAATTAAAATATCGTAAAAAATTAACGAGAGTACATAAATAATGTTCTTACCTAAAAGTTTGATAATAGGTCAATTCACTCTAATATCAAAACTATAAGCACACTATTAAAACTGGTGAATATAAATTTATTATGTTGTATGTGTAGTAAGATGGAGACATCATATGCAGGTGCGATGTCCTCTTAATGTTCTGTGTTCCACAATTATAACAGAAATAGGATATATTAAAAATGTTTTTTGTCACCAACATGAACACTATTAAGCTATAATTCAACAGCTAATAGCTAAATTCTTTCTTCAATTGATCTATTGTAAATTTTTTTAAAAATAATTGGGAGTTTAATACTTGTAATTCATGCTTTAAGTAGCACTACCAATCTACTACTAATTAAAATAGATGAAAAATAATAATAATGTTAATAATGATCTTACTCGAAATCCTTTAGTTACTAATCCAAGTGCTAACTGGGTGCTCACAGTTGATTTACCAACTCCTCCTTTTCCAGACATTACTAAAATAATATGTTTCACATTTGATGACATCCTATCAACTATCTATGTAAACAATAATTAGCATAAAATTAAATTTTTATACGTTTATTTGGAAACAATAAATAAACAAATCGTATAATGTAACTTTAAATACTGGATATGATTAATTTTAAGTTTAAAAATAGTTAAAACTTGTCCTATATATCTGAAAATAATTATAATTTATAAAGTATAAAAGACTTCAAATAGTTTGAGTGATAGTAAGTAATAATAATATAATGTAAAATATAAATAATGTAATATACTTAATACATTTAACTTTGGCAGATAAAATGGGTACTGGCGAACAATTTCTTATCAATTCCTTGTTCCCCCGGCGGCCCGGTTCATGACATTGATACACAGTCATATATCTGTATATATCTGTGGTCATTACTCATTGATAAAATATGAAATGATATAAGTTATAACAGTGAATTGATTAATCCTTCTTCTTTTGTTCCATATTAGTTATTATTATCTTGACATCAGAGATCACACATAAATAATTTATTAAAACACGTTCACTGCGTCAAAACTCAAAAGTAAAAAAATTAATCGTGATTCGTGGTATGTTTGAGGCGTTACAAATGCATTTATATATTTCGCCATGAGCGGCAACCTTTTTACTTATTTTGTCCATTGAAGTATATTATTATAAATACTGATTTATTCAAATTGTTTTTTTTTCAAAAGATTCGAAGAGCCCGGGAATAGGTACCTGTTTTGATTGGTGTCAGATATCACAGACAGATACAATTCTGACAGATATTATTTTTAATGATTTCTCTAAAGGGCCTAAATTTAAACGGAAAGTACGTCATTTTTTTGAGTGCTTTAGAATAATACAATCCAAGAACATAATTCGATGGTTATTTTATTATTTGTAGTGCATTTTTTTGATAATTTATGAGATCAGTCAATAGGACCATTATTAATCTAGATCTTAGTTAGCAATTAGGAACAAAAATAACTTTTATATCAATATGTTTACTATATTTTCCTTTACTTAAAATCTTAAAATACAACAAAATTTAAATTAAGTACCTAGTACGTTTGTTTTCAACTTGTATTGAATTTAAAACTTTATTATTTATTAATTAATGACAGTAGGAAGTCGCAGCAAACGTGTAAATAATTAATTTTTAAATTTGTATCTAAAATATTTATTTATACGTTTAAATTTTGAATTGTGGTTATACTATCACCTTTTAATAATAAAAGTCTGTATTTCTGTAATAGAGTTGGAAATAGTCTTCTTCTTATAATATAAAACCAAAACGAGCTTCCTGGGTTTTTTCGCCAGAGTGCTCTGGTTTAGTGTACTGGCCAATCGGAAAATTCGATTTTTTCCTATCGTCTTTCTAATCTGATATCTCGCGCGCGCCCGTTATCGTTATCGTTATCTCCCGCCGCCGTCGTTTTTGTTTGTTTTTCTTATACGGTTTTTTCCGCTTTTCCGGTCTTTGGCGACCTTTTTCCGTCGCGTTCTCGACGCTACGGCCGAGAGCGGGTTTTTTTCGTCCCGTCCGCCCGCGATTTTCGTTCGGATTCGGTCCTCGGCCGCGTCCGTCGCGGAGACGGACGTCGCCCGTTTTTCTCTCCGCCCGAATCGGTTTCGTCTTTTTCGCGTCCGCGCGTTTTCCGATCGCGCGGAACGCGTCTCTCGCGAGCCCCGCGTCCCCGAATTCCGTTCGCGGCCGTCGCCGACGCCTCCGGAAAACGCGTACTCGCGACGCGTTCACCGGTCGGTTATCGTATCGTCGCGCGTGTACTACTGTTTTTTTTTACGATACGATAAATCGTTTATCCCTGTCGAATACGCGTTTTTTTGTTTTCGGTGTCTCCGCCCTCGGACGCCTCCGCGACCTCATCGTCTCGATAGCGTATAAAATACGATCATGTGTATAAAAAAGAAACGTGCGCACCGTCCATGACGTACGTCAGATACGACCAAATCCTTATGTGTATTATACAAAAACATCGCAAAATCGTTGCTCTCCGGTCGTTGTAATGCCTTTGATCGCGTACGTTTGGGGCGATATCGAGATGTGTGTATGTGATAATAAACTCGGTACGTCTTTAAGACGTACACGATTAAATAATGTAATGAATACGTCGGAAACACTCTAAACGACGATAAACGTGCGATTTACGGTTTCGCGACACGCGGATCGTAAAAATCGTATCGCTTAAACGACGTATACTATGGTATTCGTCGCATCTCCAAAACGGTTTAAGTGCTCGAGATTCGGTCGTGGTTCACAACTCAAACTGTAGTCGATAGGTGTTAGGATAGGTTCCCCGACGTTAGGTAGGCAGGTTCGAACCCCCCCCCGTTCCGGCGATAATCGGGCGGCTCCATAAGAAACCGTGTATAACGAATTTTTTGCATTTTTTTTTTCATTTAATTCGATCGTTATTAATTGCCGTTTTCGTTTTGATATCCAATCTCACACTACTACTCATAACATATTTTTCAAATTTTAAGAATGATTTTTGATCACACGCGTTTAATTTTATATTGCTCGATTGATGATGTCAAAATATATTATATTACAATATACTTTACACGGACATTAAATCACACAATAGTATTCGAATAAACCGATTATAGTTATTGCTATATAACAGTCTGCACGATTCAAATGTACATATGTGATATGCAATTTATATTATAGCCCGAGAACGTTCTATTGATGACGATACAGTTGTTTCACTCAGTTTTGACGGTGAATTCACTATTTTATATGTTTAGCCTTTCAGTTGCTTACATTTGAAAGATACGGGGGAAAAACAGTAGCAAATTTTTTTTCTTTTGATTTTTAAATATTTTGTCATCACAGAAAGCGCATAATATTTCTTTTCGATATCTAACCATCTATAAAATATGAAAAAAAAATATTAATTATGTATAGTTTTTTTGATTTTCAACTCGCTAACGTTTGACATGCATTTTCCATAATAAGTTTAACATCTCTCCTTTACGCCCACATCGTCCGCGATCCGACGCAGTCGGATCGCCTACCTGGGAGGTTCAAACGCGTTTAATTGGATTTTCAGTGGTGATCGCTTGAAAAATCGAGCGCTCGATTCGACTTAAACTTTTTTGCGTACTAAACAGCACAACGCCTTCGACGTCAGGCGGATTGCCCTGTCAGGTATCGATATTCGCTGGGCGATGACTGATACCTAGACACTCCATTGCCGTTTTCGTAACGAGCTACGGGACGAGGTTTTCCGACGTTAGGTAGGCAGGTTCGAAACACGTTCTGGCGAAATCCGTGCTGTACGATAACTGACCAAGTATTCGGATTTTTTGCATTTTTTTTTTTAAATTTTGTGTTAATTAATTGTAATTTCTGTTATCAAAAAAATTATGAAATATTTATAGTTTTTTTATCTTCGACTCACTATTTACCACGACTCGCTAACGTTTGACATGTATTTTCATTAATACGTTTAAAATCTCCACTTTGCGCTCACATCGTCCGCGATCCGACGCAGTTTAATTGGATTTTCAGTGGTGATCGCTTGAAAAATCGAGCGCTCGATTCGACTTAAACTTTTTTGCGTACTAAACGGCACAACGCCTTCGACGTCAGGAGGTATGACAATCCACCGCAGGCGGATTGCCCTGTCAGTAATCGGTATTCACTGGACGATGACTGATAACTAGACACTTAATTACTTTTTCGGAATGTATTTATTTATTTTCCATGCACAAAAGCACAGGGCAAGCTACGGGACAAGGTGTATTACACCTGTAAATTTAATGAAATAACCCACCACTAAACGTTCGAATTGGACTTTTATATACTTTTATTATATTATAAGATTATTTTTTACGCGTTTAAAACGACACCGCCAAAGTGTAAAACCACCAAATCAGAGGTACCAACGTCTCAAACATCGTTATCAATGATTTCGCCTACTATACTTTTCTAACTACGGTATTCTTAAGTCCTGTCTCCGACCTAGGAAATTCACTTCAAACGATTTTCAGCTACCTAGGATATTCACATATAGCGAGTTTTACCGACCTAGGGTATTCACTTACAGCGAGTTTCACCGACCTAGGGTATTCACTTACAGCGAGTTTCACCG